TCAGTACAGTCACAGTCATCCAGCATGGAAAACCTGTTCAAACTATAAAGACCAGTAAACCATCTAATTCACATATGTATATTTTTATATACCAATAATTTGAAACTGGTCATCACTTTCAACACTTAGATCAGCTTTGCTGATCATAAAGGTTTTCAGTTATTCTCAGATCTAGAAAGTGAATAACTTAATAATCCTAACTATAGAATCCCACCTAAAACATGCCATTAGGCATATAAAGCCACAGTTTTAAGAAATACTAGACTGTTGCATGTTGGACACAGGCCTTCTGTCTGTTGGCACTCTGGGAATGACTACCAATTTTCTAGCTCATACACTGGAACATCCCTATTTTATGTTATTTGTCCAACATAAACTTCTTATATTTCTTGTTATAGAACATGTGCATACAATTACTTGACTATAAGGCAATAAATGCATTTTACAATATTCTTTATGAAAAAATGCATTTATATTTGGAGTTAGTCATGTACCCGGCAGTATTGTTTCACTTAGTTCTGGCACCAAAAATCTCCCCAACAAACAAGAGCAGAGAACACCTTGCAATCATTTGACAGCTTGTGTTGTTAGATCATTGATTCGTAATCTACTAAAGTTGAATCTATGAATGAACACACTCACACTGTACACGGTACACACACACACACACACACACACACACACACACACACACACACACACACACACACACACACACACACACACACACACACACACACACACACACACACATACACATACACACACACACACACACACACATATATACATATATATATATATATATATATATATACACATATATACATACATATATACATACATATATACATATATACATATATACATATATGCATATATGCATATATACATATATGCATATATACATATATACATACATTATATATATATATATATAAATATATGTATATATATAAATATAAATAAATAAATATATATATATATATATATATATATATATATATATATATATATATATATATATTTATTTAAGTATTTATATACACACATATATATTGTGTGTATATGTGTGTGTGTGTGTGTGTGTGTGTGTGTGTGTGTGTGTGTGTGTTTGTGTTTGTGTGTGTGCGCGTCCTTGCTCATTTTCCCAAACACTTGTAAAACAGCTAAGGTCACACATGGTGTAGCGGGCACCTAAGTAAGGTAACATCGTCTGCTAAGGTCAGGTTTAATTGACAGCCCAGATATGGCCCATTTTGAAGTACCAGATCCTAAAAACAAAGTAGTAATCCTACTCCTTATTTGTTTTGAAATATATTGGTGGAAAATTTACAAAAATATAATAATGTGGTTCCCCTTAACAAGGCTTTGTCTATGCACAGGCATGTTATAATCCAGTAAATGTATTAGGTTTTATGAAAGAGTTATGTTAGGATGTTTAAGGACATCCCTATCTCCTGGGATGCCCTAAGTTGGGACACTGAAAGAGGTTCGTATCAGTTAAAGGGTTAATGTTGATACTGTTATTATTCTTACTAATATTATTATTATTATCATCATTATGATTATTATTATTATAGAATAAAAGAATATTTCCAAAAATCAAAGAAAGGGGGCAGGTGACAGAAATGTCTTGTCATGAGAAATTATTATAAAGTGTTTGGTGATAGGGATGACTCATCATGAGTGCAAATATCACTGACTTTCAGGATGGGGCTCATTTGTGAGCTTTGGCAAGATATCCACCTGGGCATATGAATGAAATTTACCTTCAGTCAATCATTCCTGGAAGGCCACTTTTACCAGCAATGTAGGATCTGTTATGGAAAATGCAATAATACAAAAATATATAAAATGAAACAACTAACACAATTACTTATTATTACTGTTATTGCATAGGATGTATTTGGGGAGATGATATGGAATTTGCTCAACAAAATTGGTCTATTATCATCTTGACAGAGCATAACAAATGACAAATATAGACCTTGTAAAATGGCCAAACTCCAAGAATGCTTCTGCAGAAAAGCCATTGCAAAGAGAAAGCAAGGAGTTTGGCCTCCAAGCCACACACCTGGAAGAGTTGCTGCTTCATGAAAAAAAATGGTTGAGGACTGGGTGTTGGGAATGGACTGTCATGAAAAAAATTAGCAAAGGGCCAAAACTCTTGGAGGAAGATTAGACTCAGTAGGCACTTAGGAATACGCTCTTTTAAACAAGGAAGAACGCCAACTCCAGGGAGGGCACTATGTCTGTTCTCAGGATTCTATTCTTGCCCAAGATGACTGGTAGTGCAAGGTGTTACAGAAATTTGGATAATATGAAAATATAGAAAAAATTACACAATACATTGGTACTTATTATTATTGTACAGAATTATAGACTAACTAGAGAAACAATATGGAGTCTGCATAACAAAAACAGTTAATTACCATCTTGTTACAGTGTAATTGATGACAAATACAATCTCAGGAAAGGGCAAAGCAGCAAAAAAATAACTATGCATAATATCATTGCAAAGAGGAGGCAAGGAATCTTGATAAAACACATGAATGTTCACATGGGGTTGGCCTACAAGCCACATACCTGGAAAAGTAGCTGCTCAAATATGCTCACTGCCAAGATTTTGGTAAACAAGTGGGCTGTGAAGCACCCACGTCTGGCAGGTTTATACAGAATATTGAATTCTAGCATTCTTCAAACTGTAATCTTCACACTAGTTATGCTTGGGAGATTAGATACAGATTATAGTGTCAGAAAACCTTGCCATAGCATTATACATCTGTGCTATGCATAGTAACAGTACCAAAGAATATACGCAATTGTGTCAGATGCAAATATTTTTGTTCTGTTTTGTATTTGTATCAATTTCCAAGTTTACCAGAATAAAGTGAAGTGGAATCCCACCAACTTGATAGGGAATAAGAGAATTTCAGGAAACAAAGCACTATGCTATAGTAAATGTAAATGCCACCTTGTAGTGTCACAGGTTTCCTTAAAAAAGACAAACTTCACTTGACAGACAGCTCTTCCTTTTTATTTCAGATATGAAAGATGTCTAAGGTGGAAGCAAGAGCCACAGGGCGACCAAGCATTCATGATGACAAGCGTGGAACGTCGCCACGTAATAAAACACCCCAGTCTTCATTGTCCACAGGAAGGTCCCCACGAGTGACGAGGAGTGCAAAAGAGAACCAGTCACCTATTCGAAGAAATAAGGTTTGCTCTCTCTCTCTCTCTCTCTCTCTCTCTCTCTCTCTCTCTCTCTCTCTCTCTCTCTCTCTCTTCTCTCTCTCTCTCTCTCTCTCTTCTCTCTCTCTCTCTTTTTCTCTCTCTCTTTTTCTCTCTCTCTTTCTCTCTCTCTTTTTCTCTCTCTCTTTCTCTCTCTCTCTTTCTCTCTCTCTTCTTTCTCTCTCTCTTTCTTTCTCTCTCTCTTTCTTTCTCTCTCTCTTTCTTTCTCTCTCTCTCTCTCTCTCTCTCTCTCTCTCTCTCTCTCTCTCTCTCTCTCTCTCTCTCTCTCTCTCTCTCTCTCTCTCTCTCTCTCTCCTCTCTCTCCCCCCCTCCTCTCTCTCTCTCCCCCCCCTCCTCTCTCTCTCTCCCCCCCCTCCTCTCTCTCTCCCCCCCCCCTCCTCTCTCTCTCTTCCCCCCTCCTCTCTCTCTCTCTCCCTCCTCTCTCTCTCTTTCTTTCTTTCTTTCTTTCTAAGGTTTGCTCTCTCTCTCTCTCTCTCTCTCTCTCTCTCTCTCTCTCTCTCTCTCTCTCTCTCTCTCTCTCTCTCTCTCTCCCTCTCCTCTCTCTCTTTCTGTTTCTCTTGCTCTTTCTCTCTTCCTTCCCTCCCATTCCTTCTCTCTTCTCTGCCTCTCCTTCCTTCCTTGCTCCCTTTCCTCCCTCCCTCCCTTTCCTTCTCTCTTCCCCTTCTCTCACTCCTTCCTCCTTGAATTCTATCCTTTTTGCTCTCCTTCCTTTTTTTCTCCCAACTTTCTTTCCTTCGTCCCTTTATGTTTTTAGATATCAGATAGCTTAATATTTTTTATTTTTTATTTTTTTATTTATTTATTTATTTTTCTTTTCATTTGTGTGTTTCTCCACTGCAGCCAAGAGATGACCAAAGCAGTGGTGAAGAGGACCTGGACGAGGTGGACCGCAGCACAAACATGTACCCTGACCTATCTCCATTTTCATCATCGGCATCAGGTTCCCCCCAGGCATGGAACCTGGATGATAATGAAGGACACACTCTCAATGATACATTCTACAGCACACGTTCACAGTGCCATACCCGAGGAATGCAAAAGACCCCAGTCAAAGGGAGTCTGCCCAGGGACAGGCCCGTGACCCCAGAGCAAGGAGCTCAGGGGTGTAGGGTCATTAGAGGAGGAGGAGGAGAATTGGGTGACAGGGACAAGATCCGTGCCAGAAGGGGTCCTGCGCCCTTGTTAATCATAGGCTTCACCTTTCTCCTTCTCTTTGCTGTGCTAAGGCTAAAACAGAGCTTGGATGAAGTACATGAGCTCTCTGAGCAGAAAGCATATGTCAAGCCCATAGAAGAGGTTTACAGTGAATTCAAACAGGACCTCAGACACTTCATCAGTAAGTTCACACAGGATAAGAAAGTGTGGGTCCAGTTATTAGGACAGATTGAGGGCATCATGGTTGACTCGCCTCCCCAACCCGCCGTGTTGCTGGTGGTTGTCCCAGAAGATGCCAGAGGGACAGCAACCTGCCTCATCTACACCATTGCACACCTGCTCAATAAAGCCTTTGATGGTGAGTTGGGACACCAGCTTCTTTTCAACCTCCTAAGTCCTTATATATGAACTATGTTTTCATATGTATATATATATATATTTTTTTTAGGGGGGATGCAATGCTTTTTTATCTTTTTTTTTTTTTTTTTTTTTTTTTTCTTTTTTTAGTATTATTATTATTACTACAAGTAATAATTATTATTGATATTTTTATTGTTGTTATTATTATTAATATTGATATTATTATTACTATTATTGTTGTTGTTTTTGTAGTTATTATTATTATTATTATTATTAATATTGATATTATTAGTACTATTATTGTTGTTGTTTTGTAGTTATTTTTATTATTGTTATTGTTATTATTGTTATTATTGTTGTTATTGTTATTATTATTGCTATTATCTTTATGATTTTTTTTTTTTTTTTTTTTTTTTTTTTATTACTATTCTCATCATCATTAGTATTATCACATCATTATTACTATAATTATTGGTTTGATATTTGTGACATTTCTATAACTATTATTACTGTTGTTATTAACATTTATTGTTATTATTAGTATTGTTACTAGCTATTGTCATTACCATCATTATTATTGTGATGAGAGGTGTTCCAGTTGTCTTTAAAATCTTTAATATATATCTTATCATCAATCATCAATCAAGATTTAACCTTTATATTCTTTTAACATTCTTTTTTCTTTTCCTTCCCCTGCAGACTCAAAATTTGTAATGTACGACACCAAGACCAATGGCCTAGCCAATCTTGCCTCACTGAAAATAGAACTTGACGAAACACTTCAGGGGCTCAGCAGATCTCATACGGCTATTATACACAATATAGAGAATATCCCGGGCAAAGCGGCCATGATTTTCCATGCATACTGTGACAATGAGAATGCTCCATTTAAGCAGGTGTGTGTGTGTGTGTGTGTGATTTCTTTGTTTCATTGTTTGAATGTTAATTTATGTCTGTGGGCATTTTTGCCTTTCTCTCTCTGTCTCTCCGTCTCTCTCTCTCTCCGTCTCTCTCTCTCTCCGTCTCTCTCTCTCTCCATCTCTCTCTCTCTCCATCTCTCTCTCTCTCTCTTTCTCTCTCTCTCTCTTTCTCTCTCTCTCTCTCTCTCTCTCTCTCTCTCTCTCTCTCTCTCTCTCTCTCTCTCTCTCTCTCTCTCTCTCTCTCTCTCTCTCTCTCTCTCTCTCTCTGTCTCTCTAGCCTCTAGTACAATGGTAATATGTCTGCCTCTCATCCAAGGGGTCAGCAGTTCTCGCCCCACCCAGGCGTGAGAACTTGCAATTGTCACTTGGAGGTTACTGCTGTGGTTGGGCACCACAGCAGGTAAGGATTAAGCTCAACCGAGTCAGCACCAGCTGACACACGAGTTGGCATTAGTCGATACAGGCCGGGCTCCTCTCATGGGCATAACCCAGGAAAGGCTCAGCTCTCCGTATCGGACTTATCCTTCTCTCTCTCTCTCTCTGATTTGCATATATCTTGCTCAGTTTATTTATTTGTTTGTCTTAGTGTCAGTTTTTATTTAAGTTTGCATCTAGTATCAGAGAAATCTTTCTCTCTGTTTCATTAAACATATTGACATTTAGATAAAAAGTATTCATGAAATGTTTACTAAAAGATTCTTTCAACTCCTATTCCCAAGTCTCATTTTTATATCGGTACCTTTTTCCTTCTAGGCTGTGATCTTCCCAATGTTAGATATCAAAGGAAAGTATGAAGAAGTGGCCCATGATTGGATTACAAGATTGGATGACAAGGTAGATAGATATCTGAGCCAACTCTGGGGTGCCGAGCTGGTGGACAAGGATGTGTCCGCCATCATCTCACGGGTGGCAAATGCTCCAATGCTGATCAAGCCAGAGCCAGAGGAAAGAATCAAGATGATGTGTCCAATTTAAGGTAGAAAAGGGTGCTCAAAGCTGATATGGCAGCTGCACTGCTGAAGTGCTGATGAGCTTCCTCTTGGATTTAGATAAGGCTAACCTGGAAACAGCTGTGAGCAAGCAAGTATGCAGGAAATTGTTGCTGGAAGAAAAGTGAAAGACTATATGCTAGATGTGGATTGAAAATACTAGTTTCTTTAAGATTTTTTTTTCCTGTTTTCTGTTTTCTTTTATCTGTATATCCAGTGAGGATTGTTATATCATGGATTCTAAATGCTATGCAATGTAGCTATAGGATTACCAGATGTTAATAGTAAGTGCAGCTAGTTATATATCATTACAAATTTGTTTTATTTTTTTTTCTTATTTATTATTATTATTATTATTATTGCTTTTTATTTTTATTTCTTTATAAGTCTCAATTACTCCCTCTGCTGGTCACCCATTTGCTGCTGACCCTCATAATAAGTGCCTTCTGTGATTGATATTGATGAGGGCTAAGCGCATACTTTAAGTACAGACTTGAACTTGATTTTATGGCATTTTAAATCATTGTATTACCTAATTATGTTACTGAAGAGTGACTTTGATAGAAGAATTAACATCCAAAAATTTTGCTAATTACATTGTTTAATTTTAATCTCATGCTTAACAATTTGTTATTATTTTTATTTTATGATTATTATATTTATTATTATTATTATTACTTAGTTTTTCTTTTCTTTTTCATTGATATAATTTTTTTTCTGGCATGAGTAGCTTTCCTTAAATCCTGTTTCATCTCTTTAAATGCATCTCGCCCAGATGTAAATGAAATATAATTACATTTTTATTCTGTTATGAATTTAGCTGTTGATGCTTGGAATTTATGTACATATGCAGTACCCACTACACTTTTGTTTCAGTAAATGTTATAGATAATCTAGATGGATCCACAAATAATTAATAGGGCTGCCTGACCTGACTTATTTATCAAATTACTAAATTTTTCAGAAGAAAATTGTAATTTCCATTTCTTATTGTTATTGATATTGATATGATATCAATAACAATGACATTAGTAGTAATGCTGACTGAAATTATAATAGTAATAGAAATCAAAACTTTTTCCAAAAAAAAATTCAAGGAATAGGGTGAAAAAGTGAAGTCATGTAGCCCTAGTATTTCACTCTTTGGTAAGTAAAAGCTAATGGAAATATCTACGTGTCAAGAAATAATAAAACAAACCCATGTTGGACAGCACATGTTCTCAGCATCAGTGGTTTCAAGTTCTTTCACTTCACATTGTTTTCACTTTCAAAATACAGATAGGTATTGCAGTATTCTAGTAAATTTTCATGCCACAGCTGTATACCAGTGTTATGGGTGGATTTTGTGCACAGGATTGATAGATGTAATCAAAGTCCAATTAGCTGGTTTTGTGCGTAAATGGAAAAAAAGTATTTATTTTGTGGGGATAGCGTGATTGTGTTTATGGTGTCTAATATTTGGCTGTGGATGATGTGTATCTAATCAATTACAATCCATCAACAGAGGTTGTTGCACAAGGTGTCAGTCATTGGATACATACGTAATAATTGATAGTTCGAGGGTGCTTCATGACTTACAGATATTTGTATTTACACAAAGAATAAAGCTATTATCTAGTCGTAAGTAAAATAAAGTAGCCATCTGTAGTCGGATAATTCTTACCTGAATGAAAAAGGGGAAATAATCTGCAGAGTGATAAAGAAAGCAGTTATTGTTGTTCTACTTAACTGACCCAATGAAATTAAAGTTTACTCTATAGGTCTGTTTCTGGTACTTTCTTAGTGCAATTTATGCGGTGAATTTCAGTTATACCTTGTGATTTTTAGTGTGAGAATGAAAGTATGTTGATGCTTCATTTTGATATATTATTGCTATTGTTTGTTGCATCGTTTCTCTTGGGAATTACCATTTGTTTTAAAAACTTTGTATTTACTATACCTTATTTTTATATGCACAAAATTTTTCAAAGTAGTACCTCAGCTTATTTGATTATTTTTCATTTCTATTTTGATATGTATTAACATTATTATTATGTTGTTATTATTATTACTATTATTATTTTCATTACTATTACTGTTATTATTGCCATTACTATTGCTGTTATTATCATCATTATTATTTGTATATTATTATCATTTTTTAGTAATACCATCACAGTCTTTATCATCATTATTTTTTTATTTTTTAGTTACCAAATTTGATTAGGCTAGATTAATGCAAAGAGCAGATAATATATAATCATACATGTTTATTCATAAAAACTAGCTTCCTCTTTATTTTCAGAGTGCATCCACCCCTCTCTCTCTTATTTTATAATAATTTGTTTAAGAAAAAAGAAATTAAAAAGGACTTCTTAGAAGTCCATATTTGCAGGTTTCCGTTACCATAAATAGTCTTAAAGATTAAGTATTGTTGTGTTCACCTGATTTCACTACTACATCCTTTGATAATAAATATTGTTATACTTTTGGTGTTTTATTGAATTCCTGTGAGATTATATATGACTTTATAAATAATCCCTGGAGGTTATTTATGACCCTTTGCTCATCTATAATTATTATTATATTCAATTTATTTTTGTTGACATCATCATTGTATTATTTTAGTGCTTTGATTGTACTTTTCACTGTTTCTTCTTCTTCTTCTTCTTCTTGTTTTTTCTGTGGATGTAGACTGATCTAAGTAATCAAACTGCCCAAACAGCTTATCTGAAATTATTATGAGGTTACTTAACCCATGGCCGCCAGGGATGGCATGTACGTACATGTCATGCCCACTGTGAGTCGACTTGTTTGATTTTTTTTACACATAGATGGCTACACTTGTACTAAGTCGCCAATGAGCCAATTACGAGTACTGCCTGTCTCGCCTGTTCACCCTTTTCATCAATTTATGAAAATATTTAGCGTTATCCTAATTTGCTGTTAAAAATAACACCATCTATATTTATAGAACTAGTAAGAATACGTTTTTTCCCGCCAATTCAAAGAAAGGTGAAATCAGGACTAGCAGAGCCATCTATGTACAGAGATATTTCACAAAAATATAAAAAATGAGTACAGTATTTTCCCCATTTTTTATTCATTTTCCCCAGCAGCAATGGGTTAATTATGTATTATAGCACATTTAATGCATGTATTCTAGTGAATAGTAATTGACCTGAAGGTTAGCCAGAGTAAATGGAAATTTGTATATCTCAGTTCTATACCTGTGTATCATGTGCTTTCTTGATGATTAGTGAGTACAGTATAAACCCAGTGTTTTTTATGTTTGATATATAATTAGATTCTGACATTTGTGGCCACAAAAAATGGATATTTGATTAAATAATTTTAGATATTGTTATAACACTGCAGAGGAAAAAGTTTGAATTGAATGCAGATATCCTGTATTAGTTATATACCTGAACAGTGGCAAACAATTGAATCTATTAAAAGAAAGAACGAGGATGTGTAATATCTCAGCTAAGACAAAAAAAGACCCCAAATTATAGAAGTTTGATGAAAAAATGTTCAATAAAGTATTTGTCCTGCTCACTCCAGCGTGCCTGAATTCAAGTTCACTAGCTTTGGATTAGGTAGAAACAAATAAGAATGTAGTTTATTCCCTATTTTTAGTATGTAAGTGCATATGAATATGTAAGAAAACTTATATATGAATATTAACAATTCTGTAACTACATATTTAACCCATTGCTGGGAAAAAATGAATAAAAAATGGGGAAAATGCTGTGCTCATTTTTTATATTTTTTGTGAAATATAAAATATCTATACATAGATGGTCCTGCCTTACCTGATTTCACCTTTCCTTGAATAGGCAGGAAAATGAATTTTTTATTAGTGCTATGAATATCGATGGTTTTATCTTTATTATAAATATTATAATTCCTATAATTTTATAAACATTAGTAATAGCAAAATAAGATAAAGTAAACTATTTTCGTAAATCAAAGAAAAGGGTAAACAGGCGAGACAGGCAGTACTCGTAGCTGGCTCATTAGTGAGTTAGTACAAGTGTAGCCATCTATGTGTAAAAACAATTAAACAAGTAAACTCAGAGTGGGCATGGCATGGACAAACGTGACATGCCCATCGTGAATGGGTTAAGAAGACTTACTTATGAACTATGTCCTGGGTATGACACTAAACTGCATCCAGGCAGCGTGTGAAGATTGTGCATGGAGTTAGGCAGTCCCACCTAACTTCTATAAAATGCCCTCATATAATCGTTATTAATCATGCTGTTACTGGCGAGTGCGGTTGGCACAATAAAACTCAACGGGCCCTTGGGTATTTTAGGGTTTAGGGATGACAGTCAACAGCAGATCCATTGATGCCAAAGCAGTGGGGAAGGTGAATGAGTTACGATACCGAAGGCCAACGGTATTTATATTTTTAGCAGAAGAGCTTTTGGGAAGGAGAATGGTACTCTCAAAGTGTACCCTCAGAAGGCAATGGCAAACCACTGAGTATTTTGCCTAGTTATACCATGATGATGCAGAGTATTGGCATCATCTGGTCCCCAATGTCACTTGATTTGGCACCAAAACAAGAAAGAAGACAAGTGTACTGAATAATTGTGTACCTTAATTCAAAAACCGGAAATGTACTATATAGAATCTTTCCTCATATAAAAACATATACATTGATGATGGAGATACCTAGTAACACATTGTATGGTCTTCACACATAACAAGACCTCCATATCTTATCTCAAGATCTTAGTGATATGTAATAAGTTCATCTTTGGACTTTACTTCTGTTATTTGCAAGATAAGTGCTTTAGTGCTGAACATAATATAGTACTTTCCAGGTTAAAATTAGATTTATAGTAAATTTACTATTGAGATGTTTGTTACTGTGAAAGTCAAACTGTGAAGTGGGTGCCCAGGACTATTTTTTCAAGTGATGGAAGGTTTATATATATTTTTGTCTTCTGTTATATTTTTATACTCATTTCTTTGTGAGAAAATATTAATAAGCATAGTTTGGGAGAAAAAAGTAATAAGCAAGTGGTGACTAATATTGAATGTGAGAGAGAGAGAGAGAGAGTGTGTGTGTGTGTGTGTGTGTGTGTGCATGTGTTTCCGTCTATGTCTCTGCCTATAATATTGGTGTCTCTATTCATTTGCAGATGGAAATATATGTAAATTATATATTGGAAAGATGATTTTTTTTGTAGTCATTTATTTTATTATATACAATATATGTAGGATTCATCTAACATATCTTTCATTTTGTGTTTTATTCACATTGTGTTTTACTGACCAAATATATATATTTTTTTTTCCCACAGAGAGACGTACAAAAATACACAATACCATGTCAGAACATAAAAAGCTAATAATAAAGTACTTATTCCTTATAATCTTGACATTAAACCAAGGAACTCATATCACATCCTCTGCAGAAACAAAGAGCAACACCTGTAGAAATAATGTGCATGTTTACGACAAACTGAAAATCAAGCTAAAACACCTTGTATCAGAATTCTCACAGCCTAAACAGGTCTGGGTACAGATTATTGGACAGTTATATTCTATTATGGATGAAACACCCCTGAGACCTGCAGTTATAATGGTTGTTGTTCCTCAAGATACAAAACGAGAAAGTATGTGTTTTGTTCAGCATATTTCTGAGAGTGTTGCTGATGCATTTGATGGTAACTATTATTTTTATGAGAAGTTGTTATTGCATTATAGTTCAGGTCAAAGTTATAGACAAAGTGAGTCATCTACATAGATGAAATGAAATACAGTCAGAATAAGAATCCTTTCAGACATTAAGTTTGCTTTTCGTTAGTGAAGGTGCTGTATTGGT